ATCTCTCTACAGCTCCTCGATATAAATTATTTTTTGCTGATTTGTCAAAAGTATATCCATGAAAGATTACAATTTATGGTTTCATCAAAATGATCTTTTTTATCCAATGCAGGATTACGATCAATCTATTGGGGAGGGGGGGGGGTGCTTATTTTTCTACATAATTCTATTGAAGCCGTAAAGTACGGGAAAAATCAAGTTTAAATCAATTATGACGTCATAATGAATCTAGCACCAAGAAGAAAGAAGAAAGTCTAAACTCATTTACTAGATCTTGACCTTAAGGCACTTAGCTGTACTATCTGGACCATGCTACCATTCTAAAGCATCGTTTGGATTGTTTTAGCTGCAGATCTGTAGCTCGCAGTCTGAAAAAAGTTGTGGTGGATCGACGACTTTTTTTTCAGACCAGCGAGCTACAGATCTGAAGGCATCATTTTATGTAAAGGGTGTCAAAAGAAGAATGCAAAAAAAGTATATCAAGGGTGGATTTCATGTCTGAAAATATGTATAAAGGGGATTACTTCGAAAGAATGAAATAAAGATATACATATGATTTCACACCCTTATATTTCTATTGCACCAAGGACAAAATGTTTTGAACGACCCGGTCTTTTCTCAGGCTGAACTGATAAAGTTGAGATAAAAAGAAGGAATTTTCCTCTTACAACTAGATTGTGCTCTATCTTCTAAATTAAAATAATATAATTAGATTACCTGCATGGTGAGTTTTGATTTTATACATAAATTTTTATTAAAAGCAGCCAGAGAGAGACAGAGTAACCCTTCTTTCTCTCCATCTCTTCTGAATGAAAGCCTATCAGTATGAATGTGAGAGTGGTTGCCAGTTAAGTTAAAACTTCATACCCCCTTTGTCAGGTTAGGTTGTAGGGGTATGTAAAATCCTGACTGTATATTTGAATAAATATGTTTGGGTGGGAAAATATCTTACATATATTTTTAATTATTTATCTTAACCATACTCAATACTTGCAACAGTGCAGCCATGACTTCTGTTCAAGGGGAGATAATAAAAAATGATAAAAATATGGTGTGGTTATTGAAAATTTTACATCTTAAATTATAAATTAATTCCATCACTGCACATCTGCATGAAATAAATGCTTCAAATCATTTAAAAAACTGTGCAAGCAAGAATTTTGACCATCAAATAAAGCGGATCACTAGAGAATCTAAGATAAGGCTGTTTTTTAGAATCCCTCCCCCCCCCCCCCCCAAAAAAAAAAAAAAAACAAAACAAAACAAGAAAGGGAAAAAACTCATGCTCTTGTTCTGACTGAAGAATTTCAAGTTTCTTTGTCTAGAACTGTTTCAAAATTTAAACTTCAACAAGAGAGAATGATTCAATATTAACGAAACTTGACACCATGCATCTTTGAATAATTTTGTTCCAATGAAAGTTTCCCCAACTTCCAGGGGGTGAAAATTAAAAAAAAAAAAAAGCAAAATAAGGGGGAAAATTGAACCCTTTTCTAGAACAGCAAGGATACAACTTCTCAACTACATGTACAATCAGAATTTCAAAAGATGTGCTAGAGACAACTGTGTAATAAACTATACAATTGGTAATTTATGTGGTTCAAATTTTTTTGCAATTTGATCCTTCAAAGATTTCTATATTTGCAATTTTTATGATTGCATTGAAACCTGCTATAGCAAAAATATGGGATTTTTATATTTTGTGAATTTATTTTTGCTATTTTAAATAAATAGCAAAATTCTGTTTAAAATATACATACAACTATGGTCACTGTGTTACCAGTTTTCTGGAAGACTTCGAACTCCAGTGGTGAAAACATGATAAAAAACAAGTACATGTATTGGTTTTGTTTAAACTTTAAAATAAAAATTGTGATGATTCTTATTGCACAAATATGAAAAATTTTAACATAAATTCCTTTTTATCAACAATTCTAATGTATATTATAATTATTCTCAGAATAACCTTTCCACAAATGTTAAGTCAATTGAAGGGAGACAACTGGGGTTTTACAGTTACATTTACTTTTTTTGTTTGCATTCCAGAAAAAATTATAATAATATAATAGGCTTTTTGCTCCAATTATAACATCTGATGAGTAATATACTTAAACTGTGCATTTATATAAAAAACACAAAATTCTACTGTCTGGTTTCCAGAGGAGACATCTAAAAATGTCAAATTAAAGAAATTTTCTGTTAATATGGAGTACTACAAAATATGACAGATACTTTAAGATTCATATACAGAAAAAATAACCAAAAAATAACTGTGATATTTTTAAATTCCTGTGTTTACAATTTTAAAATCATACATGTATGTATTATACCTTTTTATTTATAACACTTTTTATGATGGATTTCAGTTTATATAAACATCTCAACAAATAATAAAACATCCACCTACCTCTCTGCTGAAAAGTTGTTAAAATTTAAATTGATTGTTAAAATAATTAGTTCTTCAAATAATGTAACCAAATTTTTTTACTTAGGATTTCTCAATTTTGTTCAATTTGATTTTAAAAACTTAAAAAAATTGCATTAAAAGTGTAAATATGTGTAATTTCATTATACTGCAGTACATTTAAGTATTAATACACAATGGGATCCTCAGTCACTCCCCTTCATATCAATAATGCAATAATATATTATATAATTATGTATCTTAATATAATTTTATCATGATAATACATTACACACCTGTGCATGTAAAACAACCACAATTGTTCTTAAGAAAAAACAACAATGGAAAATACTAGTTTTGTAGTGTCATAGTTTGCTATATTAAACAGCAATTGAAAAACTAGAATTTTTGCTATTGCAAGCAATAACAAATGTCATCCCGAACTGATCCAAACACTGCATTATTAGAGTTGAAAGCAGAGTTAGCAAGTACACACAAAGGTAGCATAGTATTTTGTGAGATGCTTTATCTGAAGAATGTCAACACACAACTGTCATGTGACATCAACTTTTCTATCTCCCAAGAGAAAGAGCCAACTGTTACTAGTTTTAAGGACGTACAACACACCCACCACGAAAAATTTCCTGTCGTTTAATTTTCGCTATTTTTGTATATGTTACACATGACTATATATACAATGCGTATGCGCATTTTGGACAAAATCGTTCGAGTCGTATTTGGACAGGAAGTTCCAAAAGTTACCCCCCTTTTGTTGTACACGCAGAGAAGAAATTTTCATTCGGCTGGCTATAAAATCCTTGATTATCAAAAAAGTTGAGCTAGTCTGACCGTCAAATTTCATCGACTCATTCATATAACCATTATCCACTCAAATAAAGTATTTTTGTAGAGGTACTCATTGGCAAAATATTTTTTGAAGAACTTAAACTGAAAAACTATGGTTCATTTAAGCCTTAAAAAATGCATATTTTTTAATTTAAATATTTTTTTATGAAAAAAACCTATCGTTTAATTTTGGAAAAAATACTTTTTTCATGTAACTGGTTGCAAAAGTAATCTTGATAATTTTTTGTAATTTTTTTAAACGAGCCGTTTTGAATTTATAGCGAAAAATCACCCCCCCCCCTCTTCTCCTTCAGTCACGTTTCTCAAGCGTCTTTCAGACGTGGGACGAAAACATTGTTAGATCTACAAATACACATGAAAAATTCCAAGCTAGAAAATATTTTTTGCTTTAAAAAAGTATTTATATTATATATCGGAGTTCTTAAAACTTTTCAGTTCATTGAAATGCAGATGTATAGGCAATTTTTGACGAAGCCCCCCCCCCCCCCTTTTTTTTGGACGCAGTCATTAGAACTTGATGAAACATGGGTTACCTCGAGATATATATTTAATCTTTTAAATCACTGAAGTACCAATTCATTCATTCATTCATGCAGATTAAAATTCTGACAACTAGAATAAGAGTTAAACTATCAACTACTAGAATAAAAGTAAAACTTATTCTCTAAGGATTTTAATTCCACGTGTCCAATATGTAGTCCATACACATGGCTGAAATGCATTTAATTTCATACCTGCGTATGAATTCAACTTACATTGAATTTTAATCTCATTTTTCATTAAAAGTGAACGCACAATGTTGAAAATTCAACTCTTCTATGATGTAAACAGACTGGTAAATGGAATATATTGTTTCTTATTTATTTCAAACAAGAGAGGGGTCTAAAAGTAACCCCCCCCCCCAATCACACACACACAAATGTATGCATCCTTCTTTTGCTTCCATAGATAAAATGGAAATATCGTATTCGTCTACATTAACTTCAATTTATCAAACTGTAAATTCTCCATCTATGTTTAATTAAATTAAAGTAAATTATTCATGTGTCAAAATATTCATGTACAGTGATACATGTATCAAATTAACGTTTTGTTTTGATTCGAGGAAATGCGCACTGAAATTGTTTACAGAGGTAGATCGTAGATCTAGATGGTCGGATATGGCCAGTTTGCCGCATATAACATATTCATTAATTCGGACCATTTCATTAAACAATTCTATTGCATTTTCGGTACTTACTTAGTATATATTATAGTTTTCAGTTCCTGAGTTCATCAGAATTCATTGTAAATGTGTCTTCATAACTGATCGGCAAACAGGAGTAAATAACTCAAGATGGGAAGGGGAAAATCTCCCACATTTTTAGAGTTGTTCCTCTTTGACCAGTGAACTTTTGGAAACGGGTCGTAAAACTTTTTTTTTCTTAAAAGGAGAACAAAAGAGTATTTATATGGCTAATTCTTAATTTTAAGATAGGCCCGTGATCTGGTAATGCGAATGTTACATAGCCAACTGTAACAAAAGAAAGCAATGTATCATAAAAAAAATAAAGAATATTGTTCTGCTAATATTGATCACGGATACAAGTTTCTTATAAAATAAATGAAATTTTAAGACATACTCTTTCCTTTCTTCCCTTTTTATGGAAGGAGGGGTGGGTTTTACATCAAAAGCGCAACCAATCAAAGATACGATTTGGTATTTCTAAAGAAACCACATCAAGTCCCTAATCCCATTTTCTTTTAATTATGTCGGGATCAATTCGGTCGTCAATTTGACGTCAAGTTAAACGTTTAATTGAAATTGCAAGATTTATCTCCCCCAGTGTGTTGTACATCGTTAAAACTCATTTCTTTCCATTACATGGCAACAAATTTTGTGCATCCAATTCCATTATTTTGTTACAAATTGCTCTGAAAGAATGCAATGAACAGTCCTTAAAGTTTCAAAAAGTTTGGCTGAACATTTACTAAGAAAAATGAATTTTAAAAAAAAAAAAAAATGCATATTTTTGTCTGTTTCCATGGAAATGGTGGCCATTTTGAAAAGAACCTTTCGTGTGTAAATGACACATCATTTTTGTGAAGTTTCATTCAGATTCTCTCAGACATCTGCAAGAACATTCTCAGACAAAATTTGTCACTTTTTTTGTTTCCATGGCAATGGTGGGCATTTTGAAAAATTTAAATCTTTAATGCACAGCTAGAGTTGTTCATCATTATTTCTGAAAAATTTCATTAAGATTGAGCAAGACACCTCCAACAAAATGCTTCCAGGACAAAAATATAGATTAAGCTATAAAAATATGTCACTCGACTTTGTTCAGGGTGACAAAACAATGCAGCATTCTATCATATAATACATATAGTAAAAAAATGGACAATGTAAATGAATGAGGCATAAATCTTAAAACTACAAATACATGTAGCAAGTAATTTCAATCCTGTGAACCCTAATCTCTGTAGAGTAACATTCTTGTGGCACAACTACGCCCCACAACGCTGGAATATTTCCTCACGACTTTGTCATGGGAGGTCTGCTTCTTAGGGTTGAGTAATTTATACTGTTCATATGTCATTGCCATTCTCCTGTGTAGAATCATCACTTTATCTAGATCCACCTTCCCTTCTTCATCCTCTGCAATGATGGTTGGATGATTTTTAATACAAAAATTTTCTTTGAATGCAGAGGCAATTTAATTTTTTTTTTTAGTATAATTGATTCAAAGTACAAGGTATGCTTAATCTTAAAACAGATATATATATATTTGAAAACACTGAAATACAACTTTTTTATGGTGTAAATTATGATATTTTCAAAGTAAAAACCTTACAGAAAAGAGTTTAAGGGAGTTAATGTTGATAATCCCAGAGGATACACATGGAACAGTTTACTTATAAGTTCAATCATCCCAACCATGCCAAAATCTGACACTGTTAGAACTTACATGAAGACACAGAACTAAACCTACCTTTATCAGGGTCAGCAAACCTAGAGTACCTGTTTTTATCCAGTTTGGGGACACACTCCTCAATAAGGTGCCAGGAATAAACTTCAGGACAGAGTAAATAGGACGGATAATACTGTACCTAAAAAAACACATTATGTTAATATAAAAAGACTAACAATTAAAGGTATGGTAGGGGTATACTGTTTAAAAACAGAGCTTTAAAATAAAACTTAATTAAATTCTATATCAGAAATAGTGGCATGAGGATATAAGGATATATACAATCAAACCTTGTCATCTCAAACTCAAAGGGACCAAGAAAAAACATCTAGGTATCCAAGGATTGGAGATATCTAGGGTAAAATACTTAAAGAATATGTGCTGGGGACTTTCAAATCAATTCGACATATCCATGGTATTCGAGATATCAGTGTTTGAGATACTGAAGTTCAACTGTATTTCTCTATGCAAATTCTACCAGAATTCAGATTTTTAAATCAAAAATTTTTCCTAACCCATTGAACATTTGATCAACACAAAAATACCTGTCAAAGCACATGGTTTTTTTTGCATAAATTAGGGGTCATTCATGTTTGTATGTTCAGGTTGTTGTGTGGATATAGAACCTCTACATGTAAAAATTACCTTGTATCTCGTCTTAGGACAGGAGTGGATGTAGTATCCCATGTAGTAGTAAGCAAAATCTGGGTCTTTCTTGTTCAACTCATGAACAAATGCAATCTCCCTGAAAAACACATGAGATCCTTGAATAGATGTACAAGTAATTACTTCCAAGAAATTAAGACTGACGAAAGTGTTTTTCTTTCACAATAAAAATACTGCTAAAGCTCAAACTGATTACATTTGAAACTAAACTAGGATTTTCTCCAAAAATGTTGAAAAATTATCTGAGTATGAAGGGTACTTTCATTATATCTTACTCACTTAAGAGCAGAGCTTAGTGGGTACTTTCATTGTAACTTACTCACTTGAGAGCTGAGTCTGATGGGTACTTTCCTTGCATCCTTCTCATTTGAGATCTGAGTCTGGTGGGTACATTCATTGTATCTAACTCACTTGAGAGCTAAATCTGGCGCATATTATCATTGTTTCTTACTCACTTGAGATCTAAGTCTGTTGGGTACTTTCATTGTATGTTACTCACTTGAGAGCTGAGTCTGGTGAGTATTATCATTGTATATTACTCACAAGAGCTGAGCTTTGTGGATACTTTCATTTTATCAAGCTTATATGAAAGTTGAGTCTGTGGGGTACTACCGTTGTATCTTACTCACTTGAGATCTGAGTCTGATGGATACCTTTATTGTATGTTACTCATTTGAGATCTGAGTCTGGTAGGTACTATCATTGTATCCTACTCATGAGGGCTGAGTCTGGGGGGGGGGGGGGGGTACTGTCATCATACTTATCTTACTTGAGTTCTGAGTCTTGAGTTACTTTCATTGAGCCTTACTCACCTGAGAGCAGAGTAGGTACCCAGGCTGAGGAAGTCATAGTCTGGGTGGTAGTAGAGGTACACAGAGGATACAGAGTTTGAGAGGATATCAATGACCCCCACAGCTATAATCTGACCGTCCAGCCAATACTGCTGATGAAATGATCCATAACCCATAGGAAGCCTTCCTTCCTTATATTCTTCCTACAAAATGGCATTTTTGTTTTGTATTTTAGGTCACCTTAAGATTTTGTTCATAAATGTGTATAAAATGCTATTAACTTTTGAATTCTTGCATTAGATTTAATAACTTAGAGTTAAATTACAATCAAAGCTGATTATCTCAAACTTGATGGGACTGAGGAAACATACTCGAGACATCCAAGGATTTGAGGGTAAAATACTTAAAGAATAAGTGGCTGGGACTTCCAAATCCAGTTTTTGAGATATTGGTGTTCCAGACACCAAAGTTCAACTGTACAAGAAAATTCTTCACCTTTCAGTGTAATTAAATCATTGTACACAAGTATCTGATAGTGTTTTATTAAAAAAGATAAATTTTGCTCCCAGCCTCTCTGTCTACCTGCAGGGGTCCCTCACACAGGAACTGATCAAATTGTCCCTCTGAGCAGTCAGATTCATCTTCATGATGGATCCCCATCTGGTACCTCTTGAACACCCCGTAGGACTCCTTGTAAGTGTCCTCAAACTCAGAGGATGGAGGGTTAACTCTGACCAATTTTACCTGAAATGTGAAGTGATCTCCAATAAAATATTTACCTGTAGTGGACAATTACACAGAAATCTGGTGTACTGGGCCACACTGGGTTTTTCAGGAGGGTCGTTGTGAATTTTCATTTGATAGGAATGATAAACTGAGTGGGCATGGTCAAAGGATTGTGTAAATTCTGGACTGTGGGGCTCAGACCTAACCAGGCGAATCTGCAAATATAGTTACAAGGTCTCAGAATTTACATTACTGATTAAGATTACTTGAAAGGTAAAATGTGATTAGTATAAATTCTGATGAAAGCAAATTTGACTGAAAGACAGATATTCCGTTTTTTTTCTTCTCCTTTTTCTTTTAAAACTCAATGCTCAATTTAATTGATTTATCAAACAGATTTGTAGTACAATTCTCCCAAAAAATAATAAAAATATAAACCCAGCACTCTAAATATTTGTTTTGATATAAGGGTTTCATTATATAGCTGTAATAATGTAGCCCTCTCCAATTTTTATCTGACAGTCACATTTTCTTTTTTAAAAATGGAGATTACTACATTATAGCAGCTAGGGTTTCATAGTATACATAAAGTATACAAAACAAATTTTTAGGATCCAAAATATACGATTTCCCTTGAGATATACAAGATTCTGTCATATAATACTCCAGACAAAATGATGAGGTATCTGTGAGATTAATAGAAGCGCTATCTGAAAGTATTTCAACAGTAATAACTAAAGACTTTTCCTTTCATAATTCATTTGTGCAAATTTTGATTTAATTAGTTTTAAAATTTGTAGAAACATAAACAAGTGAAGAAGCACTGTGATCTAGATTTGTTCTACATAAAAATTTAAAAATATTCAGAGATAAAGACATAATATTTAAAACTAAGTCTGTAGCAGTGTGTGCCAAAAGGACAAGCCCAGTGTCCGAACACTCTAGTAAAAATTTGCCAATCTGGCTAGTAGAATTTTTAGTAAAAAAATTCTACTTTTTTCCTCAATATTGTTATTAAATGTCAATAAACATTTTTGTCTGAAAAAATAATCTTAAATATTTACCACCTTCTCTATGATTTTAATGTTCCTGTTGATTTCTTGCTGTTCATGCTTTGTTTAGGTTAAATATAATTCATGAAATTGAACGCTTATGCGAATTAGGAAGAAGGTTTTTTTTGATAAGTTGATTCAAAGACCTTCACTGAAGTTAAGAAAATGCATAAATTAAAACATAAATTAAATCTAAAGGACTGAAATAAAATAAAATTGTGTCATTTTACTTTTCACATTTTTGGGTAGGCTATAGATAGTTTTCGATAGACACGATTTTAGCAAGAGTTACTTCCTGTTGGTCGCCATGTTAGAGGTATACAAGCCCAAATTCCTTCATTATTCAACCAATTTAAACTTGTCATACTGGGCAACTGGGTAAAGATAACACAATTTTTCTTACAAATTTATGTTAACACAAGCTTTCTTTAATTCGTAAATTTAGTGTTTTAAAGATTTTTGCCCTTATATTTCTGCCATACAGGTCTAAAACTGGTTGCTCAAAGAGGAAAAATCACTAGATGGACCTCCTTGATGGCGGCCAAGGGAAGTAACTCGCAGGGAAAATACGGTCAGACAAAAACTATCTATAGCTACTAAAAATGATTTGGGTTAGTAAATTTTTCCCATATCTAGCCCCACTGGAGTAGTGCTAAAAAAAAATTTTGGCACACTCTGCACTAGGTAGGCTGTAAAAAGCTTTTAACAAGCTAACCTCAAATTTATGAGCACAGCTCTCTGCCTGGTCTAGTTCATTCAGTAGATCCTCTAGAGTTTTCTTCCCTGAGTTCTAAAAGTAGAAAAATACAACATTCTTATGAACAGAATTTAAAATAGTGTAAATGTTCAGCAGAAAGCCCTATATCATATGATATAAGTTTTCATTTTAAAAAGTGTGTCAATTTAAAATTTCTAGTTTTCCAAGAATTACTTTGCAAGCTTAACCTGATGTTAATGATTTCTTTTTTTTCTAAATTAAAACTTTAATTAGTTTTAAAAAAAAATTCTACAACAGTTAACTGCATGAAAAAAAACTTTTGCTGAAAAAATTAAAATCTTTTGACTTTTATGCCTCAGGTACTGTATATAGAGTTTACATATTACTTTCTATTTTGTGTGTTTTTGTGATCTTACTTTTATTTATTTATTTATTTTTTTTTTATTTACTTATTTATTTATTTATTTTTTGATCTGTGATCTTACTTTCTGTTTTTGTGATTTTTGTGAGGGCTGTTTTTCTAGTTGTGGGTTTTCACTCTGTTTGGCCAGTTTCCTTTCCTTCCTGAGTTCCTTAGCTTTCTTACATTTGGGTTTGTTAGGATCAGCACCAAGTCCTTGTAAACACAATTAAACATATTAATTTTAGTCAGAGTTCTGTCCCTTGACACATTTTTCAAAAAAAAAAAAAATCAACTTTAATCACTACACTAGCCTCACTTGTGAAAAATCTGAAGTTTTAACATAAGACAATGCTCAGATAGGCGAAAGAAAGAGAAAATACTTCAAATAAAAATCAAAGAATTTTAAAAACAAAAAATTACAGATTAGAATTAAAATATTTGATATTATATGTGCCTTATTTTGTGTGTGTGTGTGTTATACACATTAAGCCTACTGATTTTTATATACCTGGCTTTGGTGTTGCTTTATCCTGTTTTGTCTGCGTCTCCTCCTTGCCTTTATCTGTAACCATCACTTTTTCTATGTCTGAAGAATCTTTAGAGCCACTTTGTTCTTTCTTATTCTCATTCTCTGTCCCTCCCCCTTTTGAAATCCCTCCCCCTGTTTCCTCCATGCCACCCTCTTCTGATTCATGCTCCCCTCTTTTCTTCCCATGGATGATGAATTTATTGAACTGTTTGATGATTTTCTTATGCGATTTAGACATTTTGAAATTGAGGGCTTTCATTTTAATTGTGTAATGGGGACAGCATGTTGTGTCCATTTTGGGTTTGTAGCAGTACTTCCCACTCCTAAAAACAAACAAGACTGTGTAAAGTTGTGGACAAAAATGACAATAATTTTCCTTCTCTTGCTCAATTTTTTTTATCAATCTCTCCTCATCTCTTGGCCTTTTTTCTCTTTCATCCTCATCAAATCTCTCTTTTCCCATCTACAACCCTGTTTATTATGTCCCCTTCTTTCCACCCCCTAACCCCCCCCCCCCCCATCCATACCTTCTCCAGCCTCTGTCTATTAGGTCCTGATAATCTTGCACTGTCAGTATGCGAGACCACATTCCTGCAATAAAAAAGGCAAACAATCAGCGTTTAATCAAAATAACATGTCTGGAATATAAACATGAAACATAGGTAATCAAAGATTATGAAGCTCACCTCAACGACGGTTATCTATAAGTAAGGCAAATCTCACATCATATTTTTTTCTAGTTAGTGTTCATCCCAAGATCAATATCCATACAAGTTTGGTTTAAGAAGGACTTACAGTTACTTGGAAAGTAATCCGCACAGAGACCTGCTCAAAAAAAAACTTTTAACCTGTTTACTAATCAAGAAAATTTTGGTCAGTTCCAACATCCAAAGCAAGTCTGGAAGTTTTCATTCTTAGATGCAACAAAATTTCAGGCTTTGCTTTTAAAAAAAAAACAAAATAAAACAAGAGGTCCATGGGCCACATCGCTCACCTGAGTAACTTTGGCCATGCTGTTCTTTACCAGATTTCCCCCTTGTAATACCTATTGTGGCCCAGCCCTACCCCCGGGGGTCATGATTTGAATAATTTAGAATCTACACTACCCAAGGATGCTTCCACATAAGTTTCAGCTTTTCTGGTCCAGTTGTTCTTGAGAAGAAGATTTTTAAAGATTTTTCCTATATATTTCAATGTAAAACTTGGATTCCCTATTGTGGCTCCACCTAGCCCCGGGGGTCCTGATTTGAACAATTTAGAATCTACACTACCTCAGGATGCTTCCACATAAGTTTCAGCTTTTCTGGCCCAGTGGTTCTTGAGAAGAAGATTTTTAAAGATTTTTCCTATATTTTTCAATATAAAACTTGGATTCCCTATTGTGGCCCTGTCCTACCCCCGGGGGGTTATGATTTTAACAATTTAGAATCTACACTATCCCAGGATGTTTCCACATAAGTTTCAGCTTTTTTGCCCAGTGGTTCTTGAGAAGAAGATTTTTTAATGACCCCACCCTATTTTTGTCTTTTCCTGATTATCTCCCCTTGTAAGGGAACTTGGCCCTTTATATAAACAATATAGAATCCCCTTCACCCAAGGATACTTTGTACCACGTTTGGTTAAAATTGGCTCAGTGGTTCTTGAGAAGAAGTTGAAAATGTGAAAAGTTTACAGACGGACGGACGACGGACAATGGGTGATCAGAAAAGTTCACTTGAGCTTTCAGCTCAGGTGAGCTAAAAAACCCTCTGCTACTGTGTGTGTGTGTGTTTTAAATCCTGTTTAATACATATCCGCTGTCCACCAAAAAATGTCTATTTATTAATATTTCACTATATTGCATGGCTGTAGTTAATCTCAACAAGTTTACAGCTAATATAATCATTTCTACATGCACACATAACACACAACTGATGATTTTGTTTACCATGCAGTTTCCTGTACATTTTATTTTTTTCATATCGAATATTTTACATCAAGATTTTATCAATAATTTACTTTCAATTGAGATATACACGTATAAGCATAAGTATTTTAGGGAGAATTATTTCCCTGTCATGAGTGTTTTGAGAGGAGTTACTGTTAACATGGTGAACCAACTATCAATAGCAACAACTTTTAAGTTTTCAATTTGCCATCTTGGCAATGGCTTGCAGAAATGATCTATTCACAACTTTAAATTTTCATGACAGAGAAAATATTCTTTGTGTACATAAATACAAATTAAATAGTTATCTGCGATATTAAATTATTCGCTTGTAAAATAAGACTGTGAAAAAAACACAGATATTTCTTGCATGTGAATAAAAGTCAGTTTACATTAATTTGTCAATGCTACTTGCAAGATATAAAATAAGAAAGTGTACACAGATCTTTTTCACTTCAACAAGGAAGTTTTATATTAATATTTCACTTAAGATGTATATAGTTACAAGGAAAATATGACTAGGTTTCTCATACTTTCTCTAAAAAGCTTTTTTTTCAAGTGATATCCTGAGCATAATTTTTTTACGGTGTGACTGTTTGGGTGAGCGCAGATTAACATAGTTAAGTTACACTTGCAACATTGATACGACTCCTTAAATTTCAAACTGCATGTGACACAGTCTAAACTGGGACATCATATGATGTATGAAAGTTGCATGTCTGTAACAGAGTCTAAACAGGCCAAGTGCAATATTTTAACAAAAGGCATTATAGAGTAGATGTAACTGTTTTTTGTTTCTTTTAAGCTCCCTGTATAAATTAAATCTTTACGAAACTTGGGGACTGTTATATTCGCCATTATCGCATGGAATCCTGGTAGTGAAGGAATTCTGGGAAGGTTTCACAGGAAAATTGCCCTGACGAATATACAGCTGTCATTCCGAATTTCCTCTTTTCTTATACATTAGTCTATTGAGCTGCGCTTGCTATAATGTAGTATAAAAAATATACTGGGTAAGAATAAGTTGAACTTGGCACATAGACTTAATTTACTGTAAAATAACTTATTTTTGTGAGTAAAATTTTCATAGTTTGAAGAGTGACATTCAACAACACAATATTGGGATTCACTTTTAAGATGAACAACAGTTATCAGGTCCAGCACAATACCCTGATAAAGGTATATAGCTTGATAAAGCTATATAGCTTCATCAAGGTATTACAAATACCTTGATCAAGGTATTTTATATAATGAAAATACCAAAAAAATTCTAAAAAAAAATAAATACTGAAAGTCGAGTTCTGAGTTGTTGTCAGTAAATTCACTCATGCATGTAAAGTACTCAAACACAAAGATATCAGCATAAAATCATGTCATGTGAGGAGACTTTCCTTTATGCTGTGTTTTTGATACCTGAGTACTTTTCATGCACGAGTGAACACACTGACCACAACTCATAATTCGACTTTTAAATTTAATATTTTAAGATTTTTTTTTGTATTTTCATTACATAAAATACCTTGATCAAAGTATTTGTAATACCTTGATAAAGCTATATAGCTTTATCAACCTATAGCTTTATCAAGCTATATACCTTTGTCAGGGTATTGTGCTGGATCTGGTTATTTGACTTTGTTAATGTACATAAAATGTGTGGGCTTCCTAACTTCCCAGGTGGCCTATAGATTTAATTGACTGGAAGATACATAGTGCAAAAAAAAGTTTTGGTAAGACTGTTTGCTTAAAAAGTATTGGCTTAAACGGACTCTACTCAATTATTACACATTTCCCTGCATCAACCTCTGATCAATCCATTCCACCCAGCAAATTACCCAAAGCCAAATGATACATGGCTTATCTCTTAACATTGTTTGGGTTATCAACTGACAACAAGATGATGAGAGATTTTTAAAATAAAAATCCTATAAAATAATTTTTAGAAAATATTTGTTTTTACCATCAGAAACATTTGTGTTGGTACTTTTACAGTAACCACAGCGGTGTCCAGGACTGTCTCCGCCTCCATACCACTCTACAATCCCTGGTCCGACCGAATCTGCCATTATTGTGAAATTGTACTTTCAGTTTACGCTCATTCTCCGCGGACTATTTATTTTTTTAATTCATTCCAAATTTTTCCCATATCCTATTAATAACTATTTTAACTTCATATTTGCATGTGTTTTTGAATTTAAAAATTTAAAAAGTTTCCATCTACCTACAGAATTTATCATCCTGAGTTGGGAGGATAGCAAACATTTTTTTAAAGACAGCCTAAATTTGGAATCTGAGAACAAGTCTGAAGGAAACGCTTTCTGGTGTCTTTTTAAAAAAGCCAGAAACAAGACTGTGAAACACTGATGCCCCCGTATGGCAACTTAAAGCAAAGGTTAAATTTTCTCAGATGCAAATGAAATACGTTGGTACCGAAAGTAAGGTCTTGTTTGAAGAATATATCTGTGAAATATGAAAGCCCTAGCAGCAACCCTTGAAAAGATATGGAAAAGGTTAAAGTTTTTCAAAAGTGAGTCAAACATAAAGGTCATGGTCAACTGTTCAAAATTAATGGTGCCCAAGGAAAGGCCTTCTCACAAGGAACACACATGTGAAATATGAAAGCTGTAGCACCATCGTTCAAAAGTTATAGCCAAGGTTAAAGTTTTTCAAAAAGAGGTCAAATTCCAAGGTCAATGGATTACAATTGTTGGTATCCAAAGGAAGGTAAGCTCATCTAGCACCAACTGTTCTAAACTTATGTCCAAGGTTAAATTTTTCCAAAAATAGGTCAAACTCCAAGGTCAAAGGGTCAAAGTTGTTGGTATCTAAAAGGTCTTGTCACAAGGATTACATATGTGAAGTATGAAAGCCCTAGCACCAACCATTCAAAAGTTATGGCCAAGGTTAAAGTTTTTCAAAAGTAGGTCAAACTCCAAGGTCAAAGGGTCAAAGTTGTTAGTATCCAAGAAGGTCTTGTCACTAGGATTACATATGTGAAGTATGAAAACCCTAGCACCAACAGTTCAAAAGTTATGGCCAAGGATAAAGTTTTTTAAAAGTAGGTCAAACTCCAAGGTTAAAGGGTCAAAGTTGTTGGTATCCCAAAAAAGGTCTTGTCACAAGGATTACACTTGTAAAGTATGAAAGTATTTCATTATATTGTATATGAGTATACATGCTAAGTAATAAACTCTTGTGTATTTATTGATTTATCTTTCTTTTTTCCATTTTTAGTTAACAAAAGAAATAAATGTAACTTAATTATTATGAATTATTTCATCAGGATTGTAAATCATTGTCAATTCTTAATATTTGTATCCCTGACCTCCTTGGAGAGGAATTATATAGGCCATGCCTGATGTCCAATCCAATTATAATATGTAAACTGCATGGCTTTACATAATAAAATACTGATTAAATTAAAGTACGAAAGCCCTAGCACCAACCGTTCAAAAGTTATGAATATCTTTATTTTAATTTATATATAGCTTTTACTTTGCATAGCTATACACGTGACCTTTATTCATTATCTTCAATTTGATCAAAATGCCATTAATTTAGAAATATGACATCATAAAGTTCACCTTTTCCCGCCATTTTTACATATCTTGTATAAAACTGCTTATTTTCAAGCAGATTTTCTTCCAGAAAATTTTGAGCGCAGACTTACACAAACTTTATATTTTTACCAAAGATGTATCTATCCAAGACTTATAATTGACAGAAAAAAATCTGCTTGTTCAAAGCTGCGCTCTATGTTTCCCGTAAGAAAAACGTCAAGAAAAAAGCACATTTTTGTCTTATTTTGATTGGATTGCAAAAATAGCATCCTTTCTGACGTTATTTACAGCCTGTGAGTGCATATATAGGTGAAAAGTGTATGGGAAATATCTCTAAAATCTCCTCTACAAAATAAAAAAACGATTAAACATATCTGAATCACATTCTAAAATGTTGATTTTGGGGGACCAAAATTGACTCTTATCATATATAGTCCTTTTGCAAAACTGGGTTAAACTCCAAGGTCAAATATGATGGTACCAAAAGAAAGAATACACATGTGAAATACGAAAGCCATAGCTCTAACCAATCAAAATTTATGGTTAATGTTAAAGTTTTTGCGGACAAACAGACAGACAGACGGACGAACAGGGCAAAAACTATATACCGCCAATCTTCGATACGGGGGTATTAAAAAGATTGAAAATCCTTTTTGAAAAAAAAAATCCGAGCTTGCCAGGATTCGAACCTGGAATCTTCTGATCCGTAGTCAGACGCGTTTTTTTTTTTCTTTCTTTTATTTATTGCGCCACAAGCCCGTATGAGTGGGTTGGCGTTTAAATAGAAGTAGGTCAATTATGTTGTGTTTATTTAAACAAGGTATTGTTTTTTTACAGTCAAATTCTTTAAATAAGTCCCTGGTGTTTGTTAAAACTTTTATTTTGTATTATTTTGTATTATTGAAGTACCAATTAAAATCAAAGTACTGAAAGTACTGGAAAGCGCTAAGCAATGTTTGCAATTTGACATTCATTAGAATTATTTTGAATTTAAATTGCCTATTGTATTGGAATAAGTAATATGTTGACAGTGCAAACGCTAGGGGCGAGCATAGTTGTTTGATACACATTTACTTCAAAATAAAACTTGTATCCGCCTCTTCAAACCGCACGAGGATATGTTTGAAGGTTCGAGACTGTGACATCACATGATGTCGTATATACGTTGCTATATAAGGTATGTTACTCGTTGGCTTTTAAGAAAAGTTCAGTAATAACCTCTCACTCCAAAAGTATTTATTACAATTTCATTTTTTATAACATATTTAAATTAAACAATGCAAATTATAAAACATTCAATTTAAAAACTGGTCATAAGATCATAAAGAAACAAGATTTATGGGAGACTGTTTCTTGTGGTGAAAAGATATTTAATAGAAAGTTTTACAAATCTACACATTCGTTAAATTTAATATCTTGGAATTTTAGTCGTACATATTTTTATTCAAGGCATTTCTCCACGTTACATGTATCATACGCTAGGAATTTGAAATACATTTGTCAATTAATATTTTTGGAACAAATTTTACATATTCACTCAACAGACTGCCAAAAAATGAATAAATGTTTTTAAAGTCAAGATAAAATTCATACTGTTTTTTGCCTGAGCGTCAAATTTACTATCTCTCAGCAAATTCGATTAAAGCAACTCACTTTTTTTTATTTTTGAAGTTTACTTTGTTTATGGCAAGAAAGAGCAATATCACAGTTATGGAAAAACTGTCTATTTGTGTTAAATTGCATTTCCGGAAGTTATTATGGAAAAAAGTTCATTTGGAGCAATGTGCACAGTCCGAATTTTACTCTTCGCCCCAGCGTTCCTTTAAGAGCTAGTTTGCAGTTATGAGCAGCACTCGCTTCTAGTTTTCTTTTTCTTTAACATCATTAAATCTTTGCAGATAGAACAAGGTTGACCTCTCTAGGCTTTTCGTGTAATTCCGAGGCGCCTCTACATTTTACATTAATTAGAAATCGTCACATCCGTTGCTTTCAGTTTCAGTTTATTAGCCTGAGACACTACAGCATTGGTGATAATTTTTAATAATAAATTCATTACGTGTTCACTAGTGTTTCAAAATGAAGATTTGCTGTACGTGACATAGGCGCTTGGTTTCAGGTGCATGCATGGTGTATTTTGTGTATTATGTGTTTTTCTAGGTGTGTCTGAATACACTCATTAAAATAAAAAAAAAATCGCTGAAATTAGCATGTTTTAAAAATATATCTATTGTATATAAAAAAGGACCAAGAACTAAGGTACGACAGTTGCCACCTTAGATTTCAGGGGGTGTCTCGATTCACACTTGATTTTAATCATTATGTACACTTTTCTTACCGGTGTAGGATGAGATCTAGCTTCAAAAATGATTGAATAACGCCCTTCAATCGTGTGCCGATTTGAACTAAAACCAAGCGCCTATGAATGGTGACTGTGATTTTATTTTTAGAAAATGCAGATGTTATTTTTTATTGCATATCGATAAAAAAAACCCTTATTGATAACATTTTTTTAAAGTTATGAATAAAAGATCTTTAAAATAACGAAATATTCTGTCTGAATTGTTTTTTAATTATTTTATAGAAAGGATTTTACAAGAAATACATTCAATGGAGTGTGTAAGATATTTACACAATCTCCGGTATTAATTAATAATAAATAAGAATAGACTATTACATTTTGTTCTGAACATGCTACAGCTGTGCATTACACATTTTTTTACGCTTCACATTCATCGCGCTGTGCAACATATCGGCATCAACATGTGACAAAATCTAGGAAATTAGCACCTGAAGAGTTTACATAGTTTTGTCAGAGATAATAGGTATATTTACAATAAGTATAAGGATATTACATTTGTCGTCCTCGTTTGATGAAAACACATTCAGTGCTATCCTTTTATCTTTGATTTTCATGTACATGATTTATAATGTATTTGCGTCGAAAATTAGTCTTTTCTGTTGATCTCACAATGTGTAGCTGATTTGTAAATATCACCTTTTTTTAAATAAAAATTTATACTTTTTTTCTTCGGAATAAAAATATGTCATTAAAAACTCGAGTATTTTTTTTTTTTCACTCTTTATTGTTAAAATACTTTAAAATGCATCGGTAATTTTTACGGATTTGGTGCTTTAGGTTAATCTTAACTTGTTTAGGTATGATATATTATTATAACTACCACTCAAAACATGCTGATAAGAATAAAATATCCACAGCACTGGTGTGTTCCTTGGAAAGAAATCCTGAAAATAATTGACCCGTATTTTTTCTGCTAGTTCCATGATATATAATTCAACAACCCCAAAAAAGAGAAGATAGTATATTGATTTCAAGTATTAACAATTATGAAACTCCACTTTCTAATCTTCATGAAGGTATACAACATTGTTTCACTCTGTTTTTATTTAGTGCTCATAAAGTTGCTAAGCAGACAAATCGGCAATGCACACACACCTGTCCCATTACTGAGAACGTTTAAGTAAGATTTTGTATTTTCCACATATCTTGCGCACAGCACACAAAAAGCACCATATTTGTTATCAATATTTCCGAGAAATTAGTTTTCCTCTCTAAGTGGATTCAGCCACTATGTGTCCTACAATGTACATGTACGTACAGCCGCAAACTGTCTTTCCTTGCGAAACAAGTTTAGATTACACGAATATAGACAGTCCATGAATGCATTCAAGTCTGTTACTAATTGATACTGAGATGCGAAAATCAACATCATTGATAGCTCTCTGCATGATGCAAAGGTGATAATAGAAAGACTTGTTTTAGTTACATTGTCTGAAATAAGGGTCTAGAAGAAAAAATATTAGTAAATATGGATATAAATCATATAGAAAATAAGTACATTGTATATCAATTTTATGCGAAATTTTCTACTAAATAAATAAATAACTTTATTCCAGTTAGAGTTTTAAATAGTTATTAAAATCCCATCTGGGTTTTAAACAATCACTATATTACAGGACATATAATTAACCCTTTTTAAGGTATTTGCACCATTGATGGTTTTTTACTTCTTCGATATTATCACTGCTGCAATTGTTAGCTACATGTTACACAGTGCCGACATGATTTTTTAATGAACTACAGTGTATAGAGATAAGAACCGCCTTTATCCACTAACAGCGGATATTCGTACAATGTATACTATCTACCTTACTAATTGACACCTATTATTAGAACTGCACGTACATGTAACGCAGTATTACACTAAAATAGCCGAAAGAGAGTTGGGGATTTCCAGTTGCATATTTTTAGAAGACTCAGTGGAGTTATCTAACTTGCTTAGTGGCGCTGGATCGCGAACGGAAGTAGTATTAAGATGCCAGTAAGCGCTTTGCGCTGCGCTTAGCGCTTAAAAACCATTCCACTGATTGGACACAGAAACGAGTTTTTTTTTGTTATATCGAGGCGCGGATCTAGAAAAATGACAGGAAAAATACAAACAAATCGACCTCAGGCGGATATATTTCCATATATTGAGTCAACAACCTATAACTTAGAATACATTTCTGTTGTGAAATGATGTTAAAATTATACTTCATGAGTTAAACTGCCTTCTGCAAGGGACCCTTGATTGGGCAATACCATGGAATACATCGACTTTCATTGTAGATCGCGCCGATGGATATACACATGTACATAATATATGCAGCATTAGAAGTCATGCACCTTGTCATTATAGTGGTAGCACGAAATATACATTTACCAAGGTTGTCAATGAATTATGTTCGTAGACAAATGATTTCTTAATATAACCAAAAGTGTTCGATATCATCAGATATATATATATATATATATATATATATATATATATATATATATATATATATATATATATATATATATATATATATATATATATATATATATATATATATATATATATATATATGTGTGTGTGTGTGTGTGTGTGTGTGTGTGTGTGTGTGTGTGTGTGTGTGTGTGTGTGTGTGTGTGTGTGAGGGTGTGTGTGTGTGTGTGTGTGTGAGGGTGAGGGTGTGTATGTGTGTGTCTGATATCATTAATTTTATCAGTTTATATAGACTATGCTTTAGTAACTGTTTTATCAATTTAAAACATACGAACGTTATAAGTGTCATGTATGGAAGTCTCACAGCCCTTAGTAAACAGCTGATCAATATATTATGTACACAGTCACTTCGTATGTACACAATCTGCACAACCCAGTCCGACGTTAAAATATGTAGACTACAAGAAGTGGAAACTGTTATTGATGAAAATAAGATATTCCTGAAAATTTCACATGAAGTTTATTAAGAAAATTTTAGGAATACATTGTAAGACTACTAGATCTAATACTCCTTGCAGAACAGATTTAGGTAGACAACCCCTGTGGACAAGAATACATTTTTTCATGTATAAAATTTTGGAACCATCTTATTACTTCCAAGAATACTTTAGTATTTAAAATCTATAAAGCAACAGTCCAAACAAACTCTTGGACTAAAAATATTTTTTTTTTAATTCTCAACAAGTTAGGATTTTCATTCATTATTAAAAAGGAAAATTCAATAAAATCACTTTTAAGAAGCATAAAGCAAAGAGAAAATTTTAGGAATACATTGTAAGACTACTAGATCTAATACTCCTTGCAGAACAGATTTAGGTAGACAACCCCTGTGGACAAGAATACATTTTTTCATGTATAAAATTTTGGAACCATCTTATTACTTCCAAGAATACTTTAGTATTTAAAATCTATAAAGCAACAGTCCAAACAAACTCTTGGACTAAAAATATTTTTTTTTTAATTCTCAACAAGTTAGGATTTTCATTCATTATTAAAAAGGAAAATTCAATAAAATCACTTTTAAGAAGCATAAAGCAAAGAATACAGATCAATGCTTACAAGAGGAATATGCAGATTCATAATCCACCAAAACTAAAATTTTACCAAATTGTTTTTGATAATTTTAAACGCTGTGGATACACTGATATATTAAAAAAGAAAACAGAGAGATCAAGGCAATCAGAAGTTAGAAGGTACCTTATTCCCTATTGACTATATTCGAATGGCGAACCGGATGCTGCTACCGGTTCCCTATATATTCAAATTACCGTAAGTGTCCTAATAATTAAAAAATAAAAACTTGAATAACCCATTATAATACATGTTAAAGAAGGAAATAAAAGACATCACTTAAAAAAGGAGAGTGAGGACCCCAAACCAATGTAGCTAGCCGGACCAAAATGATGACAATGGATAGAAAAGGTAAACCTTGAACCAGGAGCTGGTTAACACCCTTGATCCCATATTTTGACCTTCATTTTTTTACAGGAGAGGGGTCTGGGAGGACTAAATGCAAAACAATAGGCCCAAATTAGCAAGAGTTACTTCCCGTTGGCCGCCATATTGGAGGTCAACATGCTCATATTCCTTCATTATTCAACCAACTTTAACTTTTTATACTGGCCATTGTGGGATAGGAAGCATTGTTTATTTACCAAATCACTCTGAATTACTTTCGTTGAATTTTTAGGGTTTTTTGTAATTTTAATTTGGAAAGAACGACTACTCCCTCGATAAACTGGTTTCCTGCCCCGTGATCCTGACGCTAATGGACGAGTTTACCATGTTTCTGTTTCTTTCTAACTCTCTACTTTAACTAAATTACATTTTATAAAACATTTATTTTACTTTGATTGACATGATTAATCAGTTACATCTATCCAATCTCTGTCAATCTTTATTATTCAAGACTGAGCATCGCTAAGGGTTAACGCACATAACTTCACCTGCGTTAATCCGCTCATTGTTACCTAAAGATTTTGACTCAATCAGTGTCAAACACTCTTTTGATCTTGAAATGCATTGTCCATCTGTCCTCACTATCTTATAAGTATTTACCCTTAAGCAATATTTAATAACTTTGATTTACTATTTCATTGTTACAGTTAAGACTTCTTATGAACATTAATTGTATAGATTAATAAGGATGATTTTAGACATGTATAGTTTTGAATGGTTTATAGAGGGTTTATAATTTCAAAATATTTTAAAAATTTAACATTTGCATCATTTACAAACAAAATAGGTTAAAACATTTACCAATCCAGGCATCTATTTTTTGTGTGTTTCATCTGTCCTAAAGTTCACATATCTTGGTGTGGTTAAAGTTCAACTTTTATTACCCTTTACCCAAAGATGCTATTACCAAAATTTCGTAGAAATTGGTAGCTGTTAAATTCTTCCGAAGTTCACGAACAAGCATGCAGTCATCGAGACACAACGACAGCAGTAAGTCACCAGTAAGTGACTTTGGTAATATAAAAATGCGAAATTTTCTCGAGTAGAACAGCATTAAATCGTATTTGAATGCAAATATTTCCAATTCTGTGGATTCAAGTTTGTTCATACATGTAGATTGGACACTTGAAAGCTCGGGGTGGGATGGGGGGTTAACAATATATTATAGGGAAAATTAATTAACTCTGTTAATATGACAGTGCTCCATTTGTTTTGCAAAAATAAAAGAGATATACATGTTTTGGTCAGAGCTTAAATAATAAAATATAATTTTATAGATTGATTTACTAGTATATTGCATATTTGATTCATATACAGAACTGATACCTTAATAAGTTGCTGCCTTTTGTAGCATGGTATGTTTGTTTTTTGATTTAAGTCATATATGGCCTATTTTTGATAAGTTCAGATTAACTAAAATTAAAAAGATCTTTCTATTTGTTTTATGATATTTGTTTTAAAAAACCCAGCCCTTAAATAACTAGATATTAAGATTTTTAAAAAAATTACAATCTAGTTTCTATAATGCATCGACCGCATCGTCATTATTTTGACACATACGTATGATTAAACTAAAGTTTAAACACATCATTTGGATAACATTTGTTTAAGTTTTTATTTTTGCTTTAATATTTAATGATTTAGACTATTTGATATTTGAATATCTTTATTCATATACTTTAAACAGCCCAGAATGATTTTTTTTTCAATTAACCATCGGATTGAGAAGGATCCATATACATATATATTACAAAGGGGAAACATTTATACTATGATAATTACAGAATTGATTCATGTAACGGAACAATTTATTTTCACTTAAAAATGAGAATAAAGTTGTACAATGTTTTTATCATTTCATCTTGTGAATTATATCCTAAATTCCAGCTAGTGCTGTAGTTACTAGGGACTTGGTAATACGACATTGTTTTTAGATCTCCAACATATATTTGATTTTCTTTACTGTATGAGTGTGAAATTCAGATACAAAGAGGTTGTCTATGATATCCACATATAAAGCCAGTGGAGTATATAGATCACAGTTATCAATGTAACGGAGGAAATGACCGTCTTTGTCTAGGATGTGGATACAGTTATTGTTATAGTCTGCTATCAGGATATGACTCTGGCTGTCCGTGGTGATGCCGACAGGTTTAAATGGCCCCATGGTTGTGGAGGGATGTCTAGTGTATCTAAATCGTAATTTCCCTGCCTTATTGACCACCATTACTACACTGGCTCCATAATCAGACACACAGATATCAAAATTCCTGTTTTCAATGATGTATAGATAGTATATCCAGATGAATATAGGGGTTTGCCTTTGGTATCAAACTGAATGATTTACTTCTCAATGGAATTAGCAGTAAACCGAAAAACTTTTGCCTGCTTTTCATCATCACTGACCATTGTAACCAGTAAGTCACCGAGGGAGGTACAACAGACATTGTAAGGTTTCCACCCAAACAGTCTTATCACTTCCTGTATCTTAATATCCTTAACTATGTTAACAGTTCTTTCATTAAGATCAGTATAAATAGGTTCTCCACTTTTTGTTACTGCAATGTCAAGCGGTATGTTCCCTGACTTGGTTTGAATTGATTTCAGTAGTTTTCCCTCTAGGTTGTACAGTTTCATGGTTTTCCCTTTCCCACGTGTCCAGATTCCTTCAACACTGAAACAGGTGACACTGTATAGATACTGAGAGAACCGAGCATTTGATTTAGCTGACCTGCGTTGAGCTGATGTGGAGTGAAACTTGGAAATGGAATATTGACTTTAGGAGGCAAGCTTCTTAATTCGGCAATTTTGGATATGTATGAAGAGGTTAGAGAGACATCATTAGAGTCCAATATTTTCTTCAGATCAAAAATACTCTGTTTTACTTTAGAAGTAATTTTATTTAATTCTTTTTCCTGTTTATCTAAAGCAGCTAGGTGCTCCGTCTTCATTTCATCAATTTTTGTATATTGACAATATTGTTAATTTCTCTGTGCCATTTTTCTCCATGTTCGATGATAGCTGTTGCATGTCAGCTTCGCATAATGATTTTCCAGATACATTCTTTCTGAATGTAAATCAAATGCACTTTTTTCATGTGCAGGGGAGATTGTTTTCTCTAGTTCTTTCAACTCGTTTTCTAAATCTTTTGTTTTTAAAATTAGATTTTGTTGAGCATCTGATAAATTGTGTCCTTTTTGATTTCCAGAAACATCGAAGGTAGAACAGACAGGTTTGCCCCATTTCTCACAGTAAACTTCACTATGTTTCTGGTTTGGACATTTTGGGTATTTAGGATCTGAAGATCGGTTTTTGTATGGTACAATTTTGTGTCTTTTGGTTGATTCAGAGAGATGTTTTCCAATACAAATTGTGCAGAGGTTTACTTGACAAAGTTCACAATGACTCTGCAGTGCAGCTGTTTGACACAGGTCACAGAGGAGAATGACTTGAGCACTGTAACGTGGATCCATGATTGATAAATCTGTTAAATAATAAAGGGAATTCTGTAAAAAAAAAAAAGGATTTGTATCAAGATATAGCAAGAGAGAGAGTTTTTCATTCCGCTGATTTGAATTTCTACAATTTTAATTTATAAACAAGGGCCATTTAAATACTTTTGATCAAATATGTGAAATGTTAGGTAGAATGAGAGGATTAAAATAATTAGTGATTATATTAGTCTTCTAGGATGACCCACTGTGATCATCATTTGCTAAATAAATGCTTTCTGTTGATGAATTATGACAAGATGTTGCCATCAGCATCTTTTTTGACCTTTAATGCTAAAATTGAGAGATTGGCCTCTTTTAGGTGACATAACAAAATTCTTTTCCAGGACACAGTTGGACTGATAGAGTACTTTAAGTTAAGGTTTTTCTTAGTGTAAAAGTGAAGATAAGAACAGTGATCGATCTAAAAAAAAAATAAAAACAATACATATATGTGAAGAGGGGATAAAATAACGCACCCCAGAAATTCCAGAGGTGGGTTCAGATGCCTAGGAAGAGTTATACACTGTTGACCGGTCACACCAGTCTAAGCCCGATGAATTTACCAGGTAGACGAAACGTTCCGTAGTCAAATTTAGAACAAAAACAAAGGCTTCACAATTGATATGCAAAATACAACCCAATGATAGGATATATTCATTAATAAGGTAATTAAAACGGCCATAGAATTTAGGAAAGATGTTGCTGAAATCCATGTAACATCAACTTATTTGAAAGTAGCCTGCCTTGCCTTAAAAATTAATCGTACTCAATGCATGCTCTTGAGAATCGAATTAGTTGGGAATTTTTGGGTCCGTGTTAATGCACTGTTTACAGGTTTGAGTGATTTGTAGATTTCTTGAGATATATTACTGTTTGTTTTCTGCTTTTTTTCATTGTTATTAAAACAGTCCATGCTTGCAACGTCAGAGTTAGCATTTTTAAGTTCCAGCAGAGCCAGTCAAAGCCATCTATAAAAACTAATCAAATCAGTCAATTAAATGTATCTGTGAAGCGGTAGTTTGCATCTAAAGCCAAATAAAACCATGGGGCACCATGAGGTCACTGATTAAAGACAACGATAATTTTGTATCTTTTTCTTACATAAAATCTTTATACAAACCGATACTTGCATCGTTCGATAGTTAATCGATTAAAGGGTACTCGTTGATAACACTAGTTTAAATAGTAGTACCTACAGAGAAAAAAAACTTTTGGAAGAAGTTTTAAATGATATAATTGGTGCGATGATGATGAATATATATAGAGTTATTCTTAAGAACACATAGGTATATTTGGCACACAATTTTCAGTAAAAATATTTTCAAATTACTATAATTTAATTAATTCTTTAGCCGAAATTAATTCGATAGATTTCATATTGACATCCATGCAGAAGAAAAAAATGATTTATCGTTAACAGGAAGAAGTATTACACCAATAATACAAGCAATTGGGTGTGGAAGTTACTAATTGTGAACAAATATACAAGTCCTCAGAAGTGCATTAAAACTTTCAGATCTTATATGTCTCACCTGCTGAGCAAACAAGATAGCATCCTGTCTACTGTGTTTTTTTTTCAGTCTACTTCTTTATCTTGATTGAGTTTAGATTAAGTCCATGCAACCATCCGGACTCGATCGCAGGTCATGCATGATTTATTTATCCGATCATGTGATTATATTATATCTCTAAATGTCAAGTCAATGGTGAATCAGTGTAATTTTTTTGTCTTGCTCTGTATATGACCCAGGTTTTTTTTTCTGAATGCTTATTTTGATTGAAGCTGTTGAAAGCCATGTAAAATCAACTTATTTGTCAGTATCTTGCCTCGGTTTAAAAGTTGATTGTAATCAGACCTGCTCTAGCGTACCGAATAAGCTGGGAGTTATTAACACCATATGCAGGCGATAGTGGAATATTACTACATAAATACATGTAAGAAGTTGGCGATGTGAGTTGTGAGTTGGTCGTAAAGTTGGTCATAAACGTCTATAAGCAGTAAATTTTCGAAATATAAAATAGATGAAAAAAAAAAGATTAAGGCTAAAATGTTTGCTATTGCAAGCAATAGACATACACAACGATCTATTCAAAATGATCACGTGGCGGCAGATTTTCTACCTCCCGAAAGAAAAAAAAACTGTACACATTAATTACATTGTAACTCGTTCCTTTTGTGAAAAAGATTGTCCAACCGTTCACATGGCAATGGAAACAATTTTAAAATCTTAAATGTAAATGCATTGCACATGGTAAACATCATCTACAGTTGATATCAGGATATTACTGCATAAATACGGAAAGTTGACAATGGAGAAGTTGAAGTCATTTCGTTTGTCAAACAATTTAGTTGTTAGTTGGCCCTTATCGTCTATAGTCAGTAAAACATCCAAATATGAAACAAATGTGGCAGACTGGGATATATCAAGTTGACATATGAAAAGAAGTGACTATTTTTAATTGATAATACGTATCATTGTTTGTTTTAATTGTGTGCTGAGAACACAGTAAGTTAATAAATTGAAACACATCTAATGCTGTTACATGTATAAACATTTTTATTGCGTTTTCGTTCAGTATTATCAGAAAAACGTAATGGAATTACTCGCTGAGACCCAAGCTTTGGCATCAATCATCTCTTTTAAACTTTGTATCACTCTGTTGGGATGGGGGTCACTTTTCAACGGGGGTTAATTTTTTATAGGTTGCACATGTAGAAAACTGAGCCCTAGGCTGCTTGTCTACAAAAAAAAAAAAAAAAAAAACATTTTTCTACGGCTAGGGGGGTGATTTGTCGATGATCCCCGGCCATTTTTCTACGGGGTTTATTATTTGTCTTTACACCAGGGTTAATTGATGAAAGATAATAAATATATTTTAATACTAAAATAAACTGATATAAATTTTGGAATACTTTTGCTCAAATATTCCTTTGATTTAGTTAATTAAAATCAATTTAGTATATTTTTTAAGACCTCATTGTGACACAAAAAACAGAAAAATAGTTCATTAATGATTTGAATTTTAACATTGACCAATTATTCAATTATGCACAAAGTGCGTAAGGTCCGCAAAATTAAATTAAAACTTAAATTGTTTATGTGTCTCACCTGTATATTCAAGTTGGCATCTCTGTCTACGGTTTGTTTAAACTTTGTATGTTGATTCTAGGTTTTGACCAACCATTCGATGTAGACAATGGCTATACAGTAGGATTCATATTATCTTGCACTGCTCAGCAAATGCATTGCAACACAAAACTTCATGAGCATCGCAGCAATAGCTTATCAGCAATCATTTTACAAATCAATATCACAGAAAGTCCCGCACTATATCACCCATAATGACATAAAATGTTGGTGCTATCACAATACTCAATATCTGTAATGGTTAGCAAAATTTAAATGTATTTCTAGAATAAAGAAAAAACACCTGGTATTATGTGCAGTCAAGCTCAGCATGTGCACATACTGAATTGAAGGGTGACACAAATCTGAACTTGATTTTAATGTTCCTGTTTAATATCTCGTATGCTCAAGCTTTTTTTTTCTTTTCATCGATGAGAGTCCTGCGTTCGTCTGTTTGGTATGTGCAATATGTAATTTGTCATTTCCATAAGTTTTTTCTCTGGAATCAAGGGGGCAATTAATCATACTTGATACAAGCCAAGTCCACTTTCAAGGGGATAAAACTAATTAGAAAGGAAAATATACATGTAGTACGTCAATGAAGCTTCCTTACATACTAAATATTCAAATTTGTTCATGGGGATATATAAACCATATTTGAATCGCATTTTAGGGCTAAAAAATGAATGTGTCAGACCTGAAGAGGTCAGGAAACTACGTTTTTTTTTTTTTGGAGAAAACGTTTTTGCCCCTTAATTGCCCTTAATGTGAAAACCAAAATTCCAAAATCTTATTGCATAACCACAGAGCAACCCCAATCTTATTCTATATGATAAGTTGGTTACTGCAAAAGAAAATATAAGATGATATCAGGGAATCAGGTTTTTGTACAAACATTTTTTACGCCAAATTACCCTCAGGGTGAAAATAGAAATTCCGAAACCTTACTGCAGGTCTGTAGGGCACTAACAAATGAAACTCCGAAATATGAATGGATGACTGCAAAAAAATGTAA